CCACATACGCTATCGTCCTTATCAGCGAAGCTACTAGGTAGTGTACGTGGCAAGGTTGCGCGTAACATCTGAAGATAAGGTTGGAGAATCAATTTTCTCAGCTGCGGTAGCACGAGCTCGAGTTGAGCATCGCGCCGGTTGATGCACTCAGGTGGTCCACGCATCTCTCTAATATGGGGATATTTTCATTCTGTTCTGAGCTAGCCAACTAGAACAACCGGCAGACCTGAATCAGCTGGCCCGAGCGAGACGTAACAACTGGAGGCCGACTTGCCTGCCACCGTGCTACCCGGAATTGCGGGACGGTAGCTCCTTCTCTTCGATCCGCGGTGGCCGGCCAGCGGGTGCGTGGGGAATTTGTTGTGTAAGCAGAATTGCTTATTTTTTGCTTGGTCGAAAATGCACTCGCTGAAATGTGGAACGAGGGATGTGCAAGGGAGCGAGTTGTTGGCGATTTTGATGCGTCCGGACGGCAGCCGAACGGAGCTTGACGATAGTGTGGCCCAGGTGGTAACGATACGTACGAGCAAGGGCAACGTGACGGTTTTAGTGTTGGCTCCCAAGAAGGCGTTTGAGCTGGAGATAGAGGAGGAGCGAGCGCCGTTGTCGAAGGAGGAGGACTGGTTCCGTCAGTGGGACCGAATGATGGTGTTGCGGTCGAAGGAGGGTAGTCCGGGCGGCGAACAAGCGGAGGCGACGCTGCTAGGCGAACTCCGGCGACATCTGGCTCGCAACGGGCCGCAAGGCAATTTTGACGCGGAGGCAGCGCTCTGTCGAGAGGTCTTTGGCGAAGAGTTGCACAATCTGCAGACCTTGCTGGTTGAGAGACGTACAATGCGCGAGACGGATTGTGAGTTGCAGTGTCTGGACGACGTCTGCGTGGTCGAAAGTCGGCCGGTCGTAAGTTCGGAGCTGGAAGAGCTCTCGGCACTGGTGCACGAAGACTGGCGGCCGGTGCTGCAACGGACGATTGCGCGGAAGACTCATAGCTGGAATGATGTGGAGGCGACCGGGCCGACGCCAGAGGAGCTCGTCCTGAAGCGTGCTAAATACGCGTGCTGGGCCGCAGCCGGGATCTTTACACTCGGCATCTGCAGCGCCGCTATCTGTTACACGATTCGCGCGACCGAAGAGGGGACCGCGGAGTTCCCGCCAAAGAATTATTGCCCGCAACGTGGCGTGCTGCGATCCGAGCGTCAATGGAAAGACCGATTTTCCCGATTTTGGAAGTCAGGGTTTCCCGTGCCGAGGGAACCTTGTGGCACTGGCACGTTGTACTGCCGCAAGGGGGAGTCTGCCCCCTGGCATTACATTGAGTACGGCAGCCCCTGGGTCGAGACGTTCCCGCGCATCTGGGACGAGTCCAGAAAAACGGTCAAGTACCCGCCCAACGAATGCATCATTGCCTGCCGCACCCCCGAAGAAACAAGCTGCTCTCTCGCCACACGTCTCGTCGAACAGTTCCCTCTCACCAAGGCGATCTTAAGCCGCGCCTCGAACATGTCACTGAACACATTCCCGACCATGTCGCCTGAGGATCAAGTCCAAAAAATTTTCGCAGAACTCGCTCTTGACCCTGGCTGCTCAGGCAAAGCCGCATCCTTGCAAAAAGTAGGCAGCCTCGCCAAATGCTTCTGCGATATAGCCAACGTCAATTGTGATGTCCTGGACACAAACCTCGGCAAGAACATCTGGACTACGCTTACCGACGTCCAAACGTCTATTATCGGACTGGCCAGGTCCTTCTCCGACTACCCGGAACAGCTCTATGAGGTCAACAACTGCACTCACGAATGCTTCAACTTTAAAGCACCAAACGAATAAATGACCAACACCGAAATACCCCCCAAAGGTCCCGGTTATGGCTCTTAATTCATTCACCAGCAAGAGCACTTAGTGCACCATCCCTCACGAGTAGCACGATGACCAGTGCAACCACGAGCAGAGGTTCACCAGAGAACTGGCAACCAATTTTTGAGCCGGGCTCTCTCATAAAACGCTTGAGTGTAAACGATTCATCAAATACATCAGCTACACGTGGCTGGAATAGGTTCGGATTGTTCGAAACACTGTCAATCTCAGGCAGCTGGGACAAACTGAAATCGGTAGCACGTCGATCCATCTTTTGCACGTACGGTTACCGACGACTAGCGAGTCATCCGAAGAGGCGTCTCCCGGAGCTGGTAGGTGGCTTACATGAAGAAGCCGTGCATCCAATGTGATTGGCTGGCTCTGCCTCGTTGGAAAAGACACCATGAGCAGGAGCGTGTGTGTCTACTGGGGAATAGGCTTCTCGTTGCGGCTAACTGGTCCCCGTGGGGCAACGTGGTGCTGCCTTCACCACGAAGTTCTTGGAAAGCAAACTTGTGTGGCTTCGGACAAGACGGGGTTAAGGTGATTTCTCACCATCATCTCACCACGCAAGCCGCTCCAGGTTGCCCAAGAGCTTCTCTCATTCTTCGCCAAACTCGTGCACAGCCACACATGAATGCCCACCCCCTACATGGTCTCGGTCCGAACAACAACCAGGGCGCATCCAGCTCGGGTGTAAAGGTGTTGGCGGTGTTGGATGCTGGCTGCGGCGGAGTGACTCGCCAAGGCGAAGGAATAAATTTCGGCGTCGTGTCGACAGCAATGGACCTCTTCAGGGCAGCCACTTTGGCCCCCAGCTTGACCGCGCCAACCGCGCTCAAGCCGGTGGGGTGTTTGCTGCGCTTTAAACGCTCCAATTCCGCCCGCACGTTGGCCGGGGATTGAGACCGCCGGGCCCCTCCTGCCAGAGACGGATTAGCAAGGGTTACCAGGTCCTCGACGGGGGCGGTGACGTCCGCGCTCGGGGGTTCGACCGCCGCCTGCTCGGGGGCCATCAGACTCCGGACACACCTCCAAAGGGGGGGGCGCCAGAATGTGCAGGCATTCTGGACGCCGGTGGGTAACTCGAGCTGTGCCCAGAGGTAATTCGAGAGCAAAACCGCGTTGGGGACATCACTCACTCTCGCCGTGGACTCCGCAGCCACTTTCGTGCATGGCCCGAACACGAAGGCGGCAAACGACTTGACCGGTTGTTGGTCGGCTGATTTCGGAATCTTCTACAAGGTAGTGATGAGCCGAGACAAAGGGATGAACCAGGTGAGGAGACAAAGAGAAGGGATTGAACCGAGCAAGAAGCTCAGGGCAGGCTGCGGAAGGAAGCAAAGAGGGAGAAGAAAACATTACCATGTGCGGCATCGAAAGCAGCTGTAGCCAACTCGTCATCGTGGCACATTTCTTGATGCATACCTGCCGACCACGTGAATAAGTCATGTTACGCCGCGAAGCAGCCGTCCGTAGGCGTGGCAGGGAGCCTGTTATTGTTAGTACGGCGCATTGCACGTCCTTGGCGGTCGCGTGGACATCATCTCGGTGGACTGAGTCGAGACCGTCGAAAATCGTCTCCTACCTTTTGTAGGAGACTCCTTGGTCGGCTCTGCTGTTTCAAAGGCACCCTCCCAATCTCCGATTTGATACCACCGCCTGATCTCTTTTCAGTCTCTTTTTCGATAGCGCGCGTGTTTGTGCACACACTTTTCGCGACCACCTGCCCAGCGGCGCAATAATCCCGCTTGGCACCGATGGGCGTGGACACCCGCCGTGAGGTGCTCTATGACAAAAGGGGGGCTTTCGACTTCAGTTCCCGGCCCGATGCCTATTCTTTCTCAGAAACGCCGTGGACGATCACTTTCAAGCCTGGCAGTTTCACGGCCGCGCATTTTCACGACCACAGGCTACTTACTGTCTTTCGCGTTGGCTATGCAGGCAGGCTGGCCCACCTGGCACAACCCCCCGACTGGTGCTAGGCGGTTGTGGCGTGAGATCGCCAATAGGCTAGGTAGGTAGGAATCACATTTCTCCGTTCATTATTCATGGTGCCTGCGTATTAAGACCTTTCCACATATTAGCCAGGAATGGAAGTGTTTGACTGCTCAGACAACGGCGGAGGCTTCCAGTTATCTATGTGCCGNTTAAATTCCACTTTGGCATTACCCGTAAATTCCGCTATCCGAAACAATGCATTCCGCATTGTTTCGGA